CTCAGGCATTAATTCGATACCAAAGGGATAAGCGACTGACATTCAAAAACGGTATAATAATTTCAGTAAGAATTTGCTGAATTCTGGTTGCTGTGGTGAAAAGAGGACAAAGAGATTAGTCAAATTTAGTTTGTATAATTTTAATATCCTGTCAGGCAAGGGCAGAAAGCATATAAATGGGGTTGGTACCGATACAAGATAAAGCATAACCTCTCTGAATAAAAATAACCCTTCTTCATAAAAGCGTTGCCTTCATTTTGTTAAAATCTGAACTCACTAAGCTTCGCTGCCTGAAGTTCAGAGTATTTTCAATACCAAGCTCTGAATGCGTTTCATATACCTAGGTTGTAGGCCAAGAGCTCTAGCTGGGAAAGCAGAAAGCGAGGAGAGCTAGTGGGATGTCTCAGCTGTGAATACTCAGCGGAGCCCTTGGAAGCCTCTTCTGTAAAAGGCAGCATGAGAACGCTACTGGAAAGGGCCATTTCCATCGTGCTGCTCAAAAGCTTCCTACTTTTCCCCAAAAGGCACATGCTGCAGGCTGGCTCACCCCTAAGGCTCCCTCGCCAGCGAGGGGTGAGACAGAGCTGGGCACACTGGCGGTTTTGGTGACACTGGTATCTCTTTTCTGCAGGTCAGGCCAAGCCCAAAGCTGCCCAGCAGATGAAGAGTGGTACCTGGGAAGCAGCAACTGCTGGTCCCTGTACACCAGAGCTGAACCCAGGGTGGCAAAGGTGGCCCAGTTCCCTTTTCCGTGCAGGATCCTGGGATCTGATTAAACCAGAGAATGTGGGAGAATCTGGATCATGAAGAAGCGTGAGCAGCATCGTGGGCTTGGTGCGTACTGTCCACCTCAGCAAACATCTGCTCATGATGTCCACCTGCTTACCTCCAGACTGGAGGGTCTTTCCCTCCCAGCCTCCCACCACTCAGCCGCAGCTGCCTGTGGCCCTGTTTTTCCCAAACACTCTTCTAGCTTGCAACGGTTTGCAGCTCAGGTCTCTACTTAAAAGCGTTTAGTGCATTTCTCTTCCAGAACTTGTCCACTTCCTCTTTGTGGAGGAGGAGGAGACGATTTCCACAGCTCACCTATACGCTGCGTCGAGAACCACCCTCCCCATCTTCATCCTGAACCTGCTGTCTGGGCTTGCTACGACCTGCTGTGGTGGGCATCCTCAAGAGCAGGACCTGTGCTTGCTCTGAAACAAGGACGGAAAACTGTCCCCAAATTCTGTCCACCTCTTCCTGATATGGACTGATGGCCTCAGTCTCGCCGTGTCACTGCCAGCAGTCCCTGTCAAAGCATTCTCTCTGGCAACAGTTTCATAAATCTCCTGCTCCTCAAGACCCCGGCACAGATCCAGACATCGTTGTGAGCAACAGAGAGGGGTTTACCTGCTCCCTCCAACAGAGGACTGCAGATTGGGTGGTTCTTGGCACTATCTGAACCTACTCCCAAACCTTGGGAGGTCACCTCTAGTCTCTGGGATGCTCGAACAGAAGTTGTCACCTCAACATGCCCAACACGCAACCCCAAAGATCAAAGCGAGGGTGTTACCAGAACTGGCTGCCTAGAGGTGGGCCGAGGAGGAGGACGAGGCAAGGAAGCCAAATTCCAGGCAGATGCTCCTTGACACGCAGGCAAGGGTTCTCCAAGAAATCCAGATGCAGCTCCACAACAAGGGAAACGGTCCAACACCCATGGATGGAGTCACTTGAAATTGTATATGACAAAGGTTGTACAAACAGCCTTCTCTGAAAGCATCTCTCTTCTTAAACGGGAAAACCAAGGTGCATGAACTGCTGCAATCCTCCTCCCAAAAAAGCAGAGGGCGGCTATTTGGATCCTTCTTTGCAGCCTCCACTCCCTGAGCAGGTAACTTAAGTGATTTATTCTCTGGCCAACTTCTACGTGAAAACTTTCCTTGCTCCAGAGTCTTCAAAAGCCAAGATCCATCCCCCTCATCTTACAAACACACACAGCAACCTCACAAGTTGAGTGTGAAGTGGCAAACAATTTTATTATACCGTTAGTAAAAGGCTTTTTGTCTTTTTTTTTTTTTTTTTAAAGATACGCAGGGACACAATTCCTCCCTGCAGGTTCACCTGCTGATTCCGCTTTTAAAGTGCTACATTACCACTGTGAAAATACCAGCACTTCACAGCAGAAAGCTGAACATGTGCTTTTATCGAGCCTGAAGTGGCGATAAACCAGCCGTTTCACAAGAGTGATTCAACGTGAAAAGGCAAAGCGTACAAGCCATTGCTAAAAAGTAGTGGGAGAATACATGAAGAATTTTGCAGGCAAGTAAAGCATCAGAGAAGAGGGCCTTGGTACGGATGCTGCTGGTTTGGGATCTCACAGACGTCCTCTGAATCACGCAGAAAGCACACGGAGAAGGCACGCACCCCCTCTCTCCAACAAATTTTTGGACAGATTCTGCAGCGTGGTTATGCAGGCTCACGTACTCCGCTTTATGATAGGTATTCTGCTTTATTTCGCTGCAATACTCAGTAGTAAACATGAGCCTTTTAACAAGGTGAAAGGATCTGGGGAGATTTCCTTACCCACTGCAAATAAAAAGCAATTCTTAAGTGCTGATAACTGCAGCTTTCACAAGGAGGGCACAGGTCTCTACAAAGCCCTCACTGACAAAATTATGAAAGTTGTGGAAAAAACCCCAGCTTACTGGGAACTGCAGATGGGGAATCCCAGGTTCTTCCCCCTGCTTGCAGGGAGGTTTTGGACAAGTCACCACATTCTCTTCACGTGGGGAGAACAGCCCCCATGTTCCCTCTCCCAGCCGGGGAGGTCAAGTGAATTTAAAAACACTGTCCCTTCCTCTGATGGATAAAGCACTGAGCAAACGATGAACATCTCAAGTTCACCTGGAGAGAGCCAGGTCAGATCAAAATCAACACCTCACTATTGCATATATTTATTGTCCTTATTGTTTAAGGGAGGCACTTCTTGCATTTTTGGGCAAAGGGAAGGAGTCAGGAGGGAGGAGCAGCCATTCACTCCCTCATGGGGCTGATGGACCCTTCCCACCGCAGCCCAAGCTCCAAGCACAACAGCTGCACTTTGCAGCCAGGACCTGGAGAGCTCCTCTCCCTCCTGCTCCCCTGCCAGCAGGAAGGTCGTATTTTGGGAAGCTGTGCCGAACAGCATGAACCCAGGAGGAATAAGTTACTGGACACAGTAAAGCAGGGAAGAAGGAACAGCCTGGATTAGGAGTGCAGCCCAGACATCAGCACCAGGCCACTGCAGCGGTTTAAAGCCCACGGCATCCTCATGGGCTCGCCAGATTCAAACCGTGCCAGTCCACGGTACAAGCGCTGTGCAGATCCACCACCAGATCGGCAAACGTTTGCCCAGTCCTGCTTCCTGCCACAGCTCCCCTCTTGCCCTCCAGCAAATCACAGGAGGCTGGGAACACCTGAAAGTCTGCGCTGGCATCTTTAGAGGTTAAAAAAAAAAGAAATCCCCTAGCTACAATAATCCTCTAACTATGACAAGTAGTTTTGTTACTTTTGTGCCCCTGTGGTTTTGGGAGGGAGTGGATGAGATGGCGAACAACCTGCAGGCGCAGTGACGGAAGCGGGCAGCACGGCTGGGGTCACTAAACTCTGCCTGGAGTTAGAAACGTGTGCCAACAGCGACTGAGTAGGGTCGCTTCTGCTCCCCAAAACTGCCCTGGGCAGGGGGAAGATGGGGCTATTTATTTGGGTTTGAGGATTTTATCTTAGAAATCTTGCAGCCCAATCCCCTCACACTCATCTCTGGGGATAGCAGGGAAATTATGGGCTGCAATTTTAAATGGGACCTTCAAGGTAACCCAGAGCATCTCAACCACTGGGTCCAGCCTTCCCTGCAGCGGACAGAGTTGATCCTATTTGTGTCCCAGCCTGGATGCAAGATTCCTATATTCCTACCCCATGGCACCAGGTACTGGGAAAGGCGAGAACTACATCCACCCTCCTAGCTAGGCTCTAAAAATACAGCCTAAAAATCAAAGATGTCCAACAAGCCCATGTGGGACCAAATCCACTTAACACTGGCATCGTGCAAAATGTTCCTTCTAAAGCATAATCCCACTTTCCCTGTGCGGTGAAATGAGGTTGATCCTCAAGAAAGCTGGTTAGATGTGGCTCTTTCCAGACCCTCAGCTTCATGCCCAGGTTGTCAGTGCCACATGAAGCAACCTCGGAGCCCATCCCTGACCCTCAGGAGCAGGGGAGGATGCTCCAAAGCAAAGCACCGAAGCAAGACAACAGCTCTCGGGAGAGGGGACAGCTTGCATGCGGTCTGGCGTGGTGTGTTCTCATCACAACAGCATCTCTTGTCACGACTGAGCAGAAGGCAGCGTGACTTGGTGCACTGGGGTCCTGCCCGTGCACCCAGCACTGGGGGAAAGGAGCAGCAGAGATGAGTCAAGGTCCTAGCAGCAGAGCCACAGACACCAAGTAAGGCAAATTCAACACAAGGCACCTGGTGAAAGCTGCTGCACAGACCCTCGGGCACATTTTCAAGCAGAGATGAGCAGAGCCAAGAAAATCAGGTTCACGTTTACAGGATGTCTGCAAAGCCTCTCCTGGCTGCACTGCCCAGAGGGACCCGGGGGGTCACCCTTTGGACCACCAGGACATGTTTCCCTGGGGTCTCCTGGGACCAAACAAGGAAGATGTGGAGAATTGCCATGAGAACTTTCTTTTTTGACTGAAGGGATGACGCTCTGAGTGAGACCCTCTCTATGGGTGTAAAAGGAGAAGGCTACAAACAAGAAGATGGTTGGGAAATGGGAGGGGAACAGACCCAAACCCAACAGCATCACGCAACCAAGGCCTCTTCCAGCAAAACCTTCCAGAAAGAGATTTAAAAATGCCCTGACCATCCCCCCCTGGCACTGCTCTTCAGGTTTCAAACATGTTGGCCAAATTCCTGCTATGAAGAGGAATCGGCCAGGCTGAGTGACGGTTGTGACATCCCATCCACTCCAGCGCTACTTCTGCAATCGAGCGTACACCAAAAATGCCACAGCTGAAATCACAGCGATGCCCACAGCTGGAATGATGTATTGCAGGGACAGCCCGTTGCTGTCCCCTGGGGGGACTTCAGCCTGAGATGAGCTGGTTGCAGTGCCACAGCCCCTGCTCGAGTCAAAAACTGCAGGGTTTCCCAGGGGACTGGCTCTGTCTCGGAGGTCAGTGCCTACCCCGAGCTGGGTGCTGGGGTAATGGTCCACGCGGACCTCGTGGGTGCCCAGGGAGGTGCTGTCCCAGCTTGGAGGTGGATGGAAGTCTCTGGTTGCTCCAGCTGCCTCCTCTTCCCCAGGGTCTGCTCGAGCTGCTGGAGCTGGGCATCCCAAGGAGACTCTGGAGAGCGATTCTCCTGAGTTTGAGCTATCCGTGCTCACCATGAGCGGGTCGCTGCTGAAGGTGAGGCTCTTGGATGCCTTGGAATAAGGGTTGTTGAGCCCCTGAGAGCCTGGGCATTTGCTGGCCGCCTCTGGGCTCTCCCCAGGCATGGAGAGAAGGACACCCGGCTTGCTGAGCTCCACATCCCTCTCCATGTTGCTGCAAGATGCCCAGATGCTCGTGGCAGAGCTCACCCGGGAGGCCGTCCTCCCAGGTGTGCCTTCAAAGCTTCCTGCAACAGTCAGGAGAGGGTCTGCCGAGGCTGGGAGCACCTTTGGGAGACAACGAGAGCGGCTGGGTGCCACAGGGAGCACCCATTTGGCCGGGTCTCGGACTTTGTCATGCAACAAGGCCACTTCAGCGCTCAACCACCACTTCTCCAGCCACTACAGCAAAGTTGGGTCACAGGTAACTCCCAGGGCTGGGAGAGTGAATGGGGCAGGGACGTGTTGGGGCTCCAGGGAGCCTTTGGGATTTGGGGGAGATGTGGGAAGGAAAGGGAGACAAGCAGCGAGGAGAGGGGTGGAAAGAGGCACCTGGAAGCCAGGAGACTGACTGACAAGTCAAGGAGGGGAAATAAGGAGTCAAAGCCCGACAAACCTTGGCTCCCTTCTACCATGCTCCAAAATACAGCATCTGGATGGGAATGTGAACACAGCGGGGAAAAAAAGCCCTGGATAAACTTGCCACCAGCTCAAAATCTTATGCTGCAGCAGAAAATCTCCGAGCCAAGGAGAGTTTGCAAGGACCTGAATGAAATGCAAGTGGCAAGGGGAAAGTTCACCTACTTTCTCCTTCGTTGGCATGGAAGGGATGCTGCTGGCTGTCTCCCCCACCGGCGGTTTCTCCTCTTGTACAGGAGGCTTCATGGAGGTGTCGCAGGATGGGGAAGCATCTCTGGGCACAGGCGTAGCAACCAGGGTAGTCGTTTCCATCAAAGTGTCTGTCGGGGAGAAAACAAAATGCATTGTGTTAATCAGGAGACCTAAAAAGTGAGTTTTGCTCTTCCTCAAGACTGCTGCAACAGGATTCTCCCAAAGCTGAGGAGGCTGCACAGGGAACAGGACCCAGCATCCTCAGTGTCAAGCAGGGCAGGCATAGAATCATAGAACAGCATCATAGAATCGTTTAGGCTGGAAAAGACCCTTAAGACCATCGAGTCCAGTGTCCCCCCTGCCGATGGGTTTGCAGGCAAGGGGAGTGGGGCAGCACCTGCAGCATCAGCACCCTGATCAAGGGAAACATAGGCTTTTAAGGCTCCTGCGGGAGCTGAGCTCTATGGCCAACAGCTGCCAAGAGCATCTCCAGAGGGATGGGGGTCCTGGAGCGGCCCCAGCCCACTTCCCCCCGGCCAGGAGATGCTGACCCCACACAGCAGCGGGGAGAAGGCTGGGGGGGGTGGTTGTCCCTCCCCTCAGGACTCTGGAGAGAAGGGCAGGGCTTTGTCCTGGCGCGTCCCTCCCCTCAGGACTCTGGAAAGAAGGGCAGGGCTTTGTCCTGGCACCCAAGGCCCATGCAGGAGGCAGATGCAGGAGATGTTAAATCCCCCCCCAGACACCAGCTGCAGGACATGAAC